TAGATATGGTGAAAGAGTCATTTGCTTAGCGTATTACAAAATATTTTTTTCTCTCTGGTGTCTCTTTGAAAGCTCCTTACGCAATAATGTTCCAGTCCTGCGAAAACTTAGTGTGGCGAACACAGCCCTGCGATAGTTTCCAGAAGGTATGAAGCTGCTTTTCCGAGACAATGTTCGGTAATCAAAACACAATGCCAGGGTATCGTGTTCCTGGCGGGAGTAACGCCTCGAAAAAGTGAAAGCTCCCCCGAAAGCAAGCGTGCGGATAGCACACACTCGTCGAATATTCCCCGGCTGGTGTAGAGTTATACGTGTTGCCCACACAGCCAGACCGGTCACAAAGCGTTATTCGTCATTGCACGTCACTAGGCATTTAGCAAAAAGCGGAGCACGCATTGACGCTTCTGCAAGTGGAGAAATGAAACAGAAAAACAACGCGGGGCTCATGGCGCCCACGTGAAAGTTCGCAGTCCTTCGGCGCTTAAGGCGGGAAAAAAGAGTTATTTGGCTCGCGAATGTTTCTCAAAGTAAAGGGAAAAGGATCCCTTCTAGCAGAAAAGGTCCTCTTTTTGAGGTTCCTAAGTGGTTATGAACTCATACAGCATTCGAAAACAATGTTGCACGTTCCATGACCTGCCCCCAATATGATGGTGACCATTCTTTTCCTATTGGCTGCAGAAAATAGAGTTTCTGTTACTTCAACTAAATAAACCCCTGACCGAGATGAACTCATGGGACACAGAACTAATATTTCAAACACCTTCTGTCTTTTTGATGGCTTTCCTTTATGGTGTCAGAGTATATAAGATGATCTAGTGCTGACCTGAAGAAGCTCGTGGCATTGAATCCCAGCCGTAGCGGTTGTATTTTCGGTGGACGCGACAAAAATTATTCATGTCCTTGTGCTTAGCTTTAGGTGCACGTTAAAGATCCCCGGGTGATAATGGGGCTTTCGGACGTAAAACCCCAAAAGCTGATTCTATTCAAGGCAGTGGCGGAAGACCAAATATATCGTGGAAGCGTGCATGACACCTTCCACTGAAAGCATTTTTTCTCTCCCTAAAGGTCCGCCCTCTACTAAATTCCTGCCGCATTTGAACTCTCTGGAACCACTTTAGCTGGTAGTTCATTTGTGTTTTAGGTGTTGAATTGCCAACCGTTTAGAAGAAATTGGCCTCATATCTGCATGCTTCACTGCGAACGTTGTCCAAAGAGGGTTGTCTTTCACCTGGAGAGAGTGAGCAAAACGTTTATTTGATGTTCTGCGTTAGAAAAAATGGTGAATCGGATTCTGAAGGCGCTGCATGAGACATGGGAGCCATTTGGCAGTAATCTAAAAAAAAAACGAAAGGACGGCCTCCAATGTAGCAAGCACGCGGCGTGCGCGCACCATATCGGAGGCTATAATTTGTAGCAGGCAAGACCACGGGTAGGTGCCACCGCCGTATCGTCATAGCAAAGCGTAGGAAACACTCACAATTTCTTGCATAGCATTGCATTGTCAGCGCAACGTATTAAACGCAACGATTCTGAGAATTGCCTATGTATGACTTTTATACCACAAATAAGCACGCGCTAGCCTTGTGCCACAGATATGCGCAATACTTGCTTTTAAAAGAAAAATACGCACAAGTATGGACGAAGAAACGAGAGCAACATTGGTGGGCGCTGAGGATGTGGTTGAGCTTAGCGGTTGCTGGTGACGCACAAAAGTTGATCGACACATAGACAGGAATGCAGACAGGCCACAATTTTCGCGTCAGAGTATCCAAAGTAAGACCATCATCATTAAAACAAATCTGGCATGGAGTTCCGCAGAAGAATCTAAAGTAATTACCTTCTTGTGACTAGCTGAAGTTTACATAAAGCAGGAGGCAAGCAGAGCAAAACTTCCTTTTTGATGTGAGATATTGCTATCGGCTGATAGCATTGATAACAACACAAATTAACAACCTTCCTGCCGCATCCTGTGAAACAGCACGTTGTTGTGACCATTTTTTGATACCCAAGCATTTACTGGGACGATGTGCTGTGCAAAACACCTCATTACTTAACTTCCTTCTTGTGGCAGTAGGGAAAGATAACATACGTGGGTTTATTTGTGGGTCTTATTTGAGCCTGATCAACTCGCAGGAAATTGCAATGACTCCGCTAATGCCCACCTTCACAAGCAATCAAGCGCTGTTATCCAAGTATCTGAGTTTGCCCCAGCCGAGCAACCAAGTTCAGTGCACATACATCTGGATCGATGCTACTGGACAAAATCTGCGCTGCAAAACAAGAACTGTAGAATTTGAGCCCAAAGAGGCCAAAGGTAAGACTTTACTCAGTTTACTTAATTCTCAGAAGAAACAAATATCCATCCACTTAGGTCTGACAAAACAGTTATTTTTTTTTCTTGTCCTTATGTGTCACAACTGGTATTCTTTCTTTTGCAAATGTACACAATATCTCGCGTATGAAATAGCGGCTCGACAACGTGGTAATTAGAATTAATTTGAATGCCTGCTTGCTCACACACTTAATGAGCTTTTATTAATAACATATTTTATGATCGTGTGTGTTATCATTCGAGAGGTACTAAACTAACCCTACAAGCCACGTTAGTTGATAATTTATCATGTTCGGGTAAATGTGAAGCCTGACACACACGAAGGGTGAGTGTTGATATTACATGCCTCTGTGCTTCGAAAGTGCTGTAAAATAAATATCGGCCCTTAGCTTGTCAAAAAAGCAAACAAAAACATGTGACATACTTATCAGGGTGTATAGCTTTCAATATGGTGAAAAAATTGTTTTCGGCCCATTAGTGTGTGTGCACCCAATTTCTAAGCAAATATAAAGGTAGCTGGTCCTCCTAATAAAATTGTACAATATACTGCTGGTGCCACTGGAATTCGTCATTCCATTCCGACGCACAAATTGCAACAAGGCTTTTATCAAGACATTAAGAAAAAAGTTAGAACAAAATGGTACGTTGCAGATCGAAATAAACGATGATGCATTTCAATAAGTGCAAACGATGGCGACATAAGAATACGAGAAAATAATGAGAAACCTGATCGTGAAGTTTCAGCATCAGTTCTCGCCTCCAGGAAACATCGGCACAGCGCTACCGTCTCAATCGCTGTTTGCATCGTAATATATGAAAAGAGAGGCCGAGCGTGTACAAGCTCGTCGTTTTATGATAGCGTTGCTCATTTTATTATTTGACATCAAAGTTAATTTAATTTGCAGAGCAGCTTGAAGTATCTTTCATGGCATGCATCTCGCATATCGAACGTCCTTTCTCAACTTCGTCTTTACGTCAGCATTGAAGGCTATGACACGAGGGAATCTCATGATCACCCCTGGATTACAAGTTGAGGAACAAAATACTTATTTGTTCAGCGAAAATCAGAACACCAGGAAATGTTGCCAGAATTAAGCGTTTGCATTTTTGTGTGTTCAAGAAACATGCAGTGCGACAGTGTATTTGCAGAGCAGAACTTATTTGTAGGTTCATAAAGCAATCGCAAGTCACCAATCCGAAACAAGAACATATCCTAAAATTGATCAAGATACTAAAGTTTAGTAACATGTCGTGTGAAAGCTATCTACTGTGTTGGCATTTCACATACATACCGATCCTTGGACGAGGGAGATAACCACGCCCAACTTTATAGTCATAGCGCGCAGCTTTGGACGCCGTAGAGGCTGTTTCATTATTTCGGATGCAGTGATTTTAGAGCTAAACACGGTGAGGACACCCTGATAGTCACATGTAATAGACCCCTAAATAGTGTACTGTGCATTCGGTAATCGAAATCGAACCTAAATGAACGACAGGAAGCATTCTTACACTTGCATGTATTATGATGTTCTACGATGCGTAGGTATGCAGTAGGAATCTTGGCCGATGTAGCCACGATTCACACACGCTATATCTGGTGAAGATCAGAAGATTGTTATCTGTCCGTATCTAATTCAGCGGCTATAGATTAGGTTGTTGCTCCAAGATACGTTTTTCTAGCTTATCATGTCTGGCGGCTTCTTACAGAATTGCCCATCTGGAACTTCGACGGTTCGAGCACGGGTCAGGCCGAGGGCAAGAACTCGGACGTGCACATATACCCGGTGGCGTTGTTCCGAGATCCATTCCTGGGTGGTCCCAACAAGCTGGTGCTGTGCGAGACCTACAACTACGATCACACGCCACACGGTCAGTGCTGAAACAGTGGTAGTGGGCTGTGCCCGACAGTCGGGTATGGCAACAGCTAACAACCTTGCTGAGCTGGGCAAAGATATTCCCAAAAATATTCTGGAATTCAGATGTCAAAATGCATGAGCTGGAAGCCTGAAACACAGATACTGAGATATAGTTTTTTCTTTAGTTAACGGAGTATTTCAGACATACATCGCGAAAAGCAGAAAAAAAGTAGTCCGGAATACAGTTACAGAAATACAGACCCTGAACCTTTTTTTTTTAATTCTGATACTGTGTACAAGCATTTACGAAAGTGCAGTATAATACCGAGAATCAAGTGTCAGCGTGTTATCTCACAAGAAAAGCATATTGTCCGATTCACAACGAATACAAATAACTATACACTAAGCATGTCATTATTATAAAAGGCTCAAAATCTGCTTTGATGAAAAGGTTCTTTAGGCAACCTGCATGTAGCTAACAGCAGCTTGTGGAATATGCTCTCTGCTAGGTGGTGTCGCTACGAATTCAACACAAAACTCGTGCACATGCCAGGTGGCGGGGCTTTTGAAAAAAGTAGGGCTGCTGCACACCAGCTTTGAAATATATGGATCTTGTCAGCATCTGCGGTTCGGTGGGCAGCCACGTTTGGTGTTTCGACACATTAACAATTCTGTACATGTGGGGAGTTCTCCGCGGTCAGCCCTGCGCCGTGGGCTAGGGGCCTGTCTTTGCTTGGCTTAGTACAAAGAAAGCCTTCATATTCTGTTTAGAGACAGGTCAAATCATTCCGGACAAAAATTTTACGACATATACCAAGTACTGTAAAATAGCGCTATACAATCAATACACAAACAAAAAATTCACTATTAAGGAACGAATGCACTTCTAAACGGGTCTCATACAGAAATACAGTTGCTGTAAGGTATCTTTGAGATACAATTTCGATGCTTTTTATTGCGATACTGCCTAGCCCTGCAACCTTGTGAGCAAAAAAACAACTACATCATTGAGTTGTTGCAATAGTTTCCCTTCAAAGACAGTTTTTCTTCCTCGCTTTTATACTAATACTTAGGCTGTGAGCCACGTATGACAAAAATTACACATTATTGCAAAACCTGATCTTACTGCCGCTTAGAGTAGATGTATGACACAAAGGGCATTGTGTGTTCGTTGATTATGTCTTTGCCACGAGCTGGTAAACTCGGAAACAAGGTTGCAAAACTGATATCATTATGTAGCGTTGACAAACACGAAACTTTTCTCACGTGGAAAAGCCATCGCGTCCACGTACCTTAAGGAAACATAATGAGAGATGTATGCAAGACGCTCATCTAGTTCGAGCTGCTCATCACGTGTACGTTAACACGAGTTTGAGGGCAGTCAACCTCATCACAACAGTCACCCTTCTTTTCCCAGAACTCTAGCTAGTCTTTTGTTGACTCGGATGAATTTTCTGGTTGCCCTTGAGAATACCTCAAGTTGTGCGAGAAAAATTTCGCTATAGCTAAGTTTGCGGCATAAGCCGATGACTGGATTCACAATGAATGCATTATGCATACACTTAGGATTAGTGGAGTATGAAGATCAGGTGATATTATGCAATTAAACCAATAAGAGTATTTGCCTGTGAATGTTAACTCTAGGACCACCAACACAGAGTTCCTGTAGCATGTGAGGCCTGCGGAATTCCAGAAAATACGTAAATGTCCACGCAAGGATAAGTTTTGATCCATCCGTTTGTATAAAAAAGCATTCTAGCTTACAACAAAGTACTCCTACTCTGTCTTTTCAACGCGAGATTAATGCAGTTTTCTTTCGTTTCCCTTGGCATTCGTGACAGCCAGGCGCTAGCAGATTGCAATAGCTGGGTTGCTGGGCAGGTTGGAATAAGTGTGGTGAAAAACAGAATGTCTTTGAGTTGTGGTGACAACATGTTTTAAACAAACCACCAGTACGAATAGATCAAATTGGTTGCGCAATGCACGCTGCATTCCATTGTTTACGATCAGAAAGTGGTAATCGAACGTCAAAGGCGGTCTACAAAGTTCGATGGAGCCTTAAACACAGAAGCATCTTTCATTTGTTTGTCATTCTATACAGTGCAGAAGTGCATCTATGCAAGACAAGTGTTAACGTTTAGTAATGATATTTTAGAGACAAGGGCTGTTAAAGTTTATAATAAAGGGTTTATTGCGGGAACTAAATATCTTTTAGAACAATCGACCCCGTGGCCTTTGAGATTAGCTTCGGCCAAGCGCCACGTGTTCGGATCTATTCCACGTGTAGATTATCATGGACAGCCTTTACAATCTATAGCACGTCTGTGGGAGGCGCGATGTTCAGTTGGCATACAAACTACATGACAACTTCCTTTACTTTACAGCATTGTTGATATACGGATGGAGTGGTGGCGCTGATGCGTTCGTATTGAGGTGTTCACTTGATAACCTCCGCGAATGCCACCAATTCGTTTGTGACGACCTTATCCTCCTTGTAGACGCTTTTATCACGCTGTTATGACGTGCTCCACACTTCTTTCCCGCCATGACCGCCAAAGTGCGAGCTAGGAGCAAACTCGTATTCCCGAGAAGCTCGGGCCATCCTCCATATATAGCACCCCAGGTAGAGGCAGGCGTGTGCAGCTAAAGCACTCGGGGTTCACAGTCTGTGACCTCAGTGAAATCACAAAAAATATAAAGTTTGTGTAATCTTTAAAATTCATCCGGTGTACTTATGTTGTTATTATTTATGGAATCCCCAGTGCATTAGGTGAAGTCAGGTTTCGAACGATACAGTTTTACTTTCCTCCTCGTCACCATATTACAGAGACGAACAAGCGTCACCTATGCAAGGTAGCGATGGATCGATGCAAGGACCAGAAGCCATGGTTCGGCATCGAGCAGGAGTATACTCTTCTGGACATCGATGGGCGACCATATCGGTGGCCCAAGCAAGGCTTTCCGGGACCTCAAGGGCCTTACTACTGTAGCGTCGGTGCGGACAGGGCATATGGGCGGGACGTAATGGACGCACACTACAGGGCCTGCCTCTACGCCGGCATCAAGATAGCGGGAACTAACGCCGAAGTGATGCCATCTCAGTGGGAGTTCCAGGTATGCATACAACACCTCGAACACGTTGCAGTTCTTGGGAGGATTCATTCAATGGGGTAAACCAAGTTGAAAGAGCGTATTCAAAGACATACATAATAAAGTACTATGTCCCAACTAAATAACCAGAAACAAAATATGCGAGTGAGCCAGAAACTTTATGACACGCTATATCTCAGGGGACGCGAAAGTGTATATGCTCTTGCAAACAGCCTTGAATATATGAATAAATATTAGGGGCATAAAAGGAACACTAAAAAAATGGAGGACCCTTAAGCTTCGTCTATAGGAGTTGAACACGATAGCGAAATCTGGCCCCTACTGTGCCCTTCAACTGCTAAGTGCTTACTTATTCATATGTTTTGTTACATACACAAACACGCACGCACACGCTCACGCACAAAGTAGATTGTACCAGTGCGCGCTATTATCGACGAATTGGCTCGTTTTCATCGTGACACTTGTCGAACAAAATGCGTTAAAGAGGCGCTGAAACACTTTTTCAAGAAACCATGAAATGAGTTTGCTAAAAGAGCTTATTGCCTTACAAATGCAACGCCGCAAAAATTTTAAGAATCCGCCCAGTGCGAGTGGAATTACAGAGGTTTTTCGCATGCTGCAATTGCATTATCTCTTCTCTCGTCCCGACGAAGGCACTGTAAGCTAGGCGGGAAAGAGTGGCAGACGCATAGGAACTACCACGCTTTGTGACTTAGAGTACTTTTTTTTTTCTTCGAATGGGCGGCTTTTTTAGAGTGATCGCGTGCACGCGTGGACAAGTAGCAGCCTCCCGCGGCGATCTCAGTAACTTGATTCTTCGGACACAGACGCGCAGACAATTTCTCGCTCACAACCAACGGGGCCGATGCCGGCGGCTGGATTTCTGCGACATGAGCTCTTTAACGCGCGTTAAAGCATGTGAATATATGCGAGGGCTTCATAGAGGCTGTCTGTCATTATATCATAAAACAAATATTTTTGACTCACTGATTTCTATATAAATAAGCTCTTTTGAAATGACCTCATAGTGGTTAAGAGGTTGCATTCATCATGAATAATAATATTCATAACTCGATTCCTTGCACATGAAATTCCCCTCTTCTTGCTCAGTGAAAATTGTTTCAAATATTTCGATTATCTCCAACGTAGCTATGCCCACTCTATTAAGAAATTCAGGTGATACGCAAGAAAACAGTGATAACACAACCGTATTTTTACTGCTGTTATGCAGAATCCAGCAATTTCTCAACATGATTGTTTTGGTAGATTGTTATGAAAGATTTGTGTTTTTACTTACGGAACACCACAACCAGTGCAACATCACGCACCACGCAACCATGTAAATGCTCCTCACGTATTACTGACTACTGTGTGCGTAACTTTGCACTGCGTCGCGCTTCATTTCAGAATTTGTAGGTCCGCCTCTACAAACTCAACTTGATGACGTGAGGCCTATGCCTCATCCAGAAGTTTTCTGGTGTGAGCACGCCATAACACTGCCATGCCGTCCAACACGCGAGTCCAGTGTACTTTAATAGTTCATTAGGAAGTCCTCATTCAAATAAGATAAAAAAGAACCGAGAAAACAGTTTTGAAACTGATTTTACAATAATATCAGCGGTATGCGAAGAGACGGGACGGCATACGGAAAAAGTCAATCAGGTTATTCAGCGAAATTTGTCGGTGCAATAATGATGATTATCATGAAAGGCGTTATCGCTTACCTTTAGATGTTCTTCAGATACCTTCATGAGGTAATGAATGGTTGTTACAACAAAGTTTTCTTCTAAATAATGATGTAATGGTAGCTGTATTGCGATATTTGTTACAACATGTAGATGATAGCACAAGCATCACAAAGAAATACAAGATAGCACAAGCATCACTCACACGACATCCTGCATTCCCACTTAATCTTCGCCGTGGGAGAAAAACCTCAGAGGCAAAATCAACCATCGCTTATCCTAATGCCGTTTTAGAGACAAAATGCTTAGTAACACTGGCTTGTTATGAGAAAGAATGTTTGTATTTTTATTGTTAAGTTTCTACCTTACAACGTGATGCTGATTTCTTAGTGTACCAAATAACACTTATAAGTATTAGCACGAGTAGTTCATACGGGATGAAGCGACCTCTGAAACGATAATTATTTCCAACGTCTCAGTCTTATGCTCAAGGCAGCACTATACTAAATCGCTCTTGTGCGCCGAACATCTGCTCTAACACATGATGGTGCCTAACGTGAGGAGCATTTAACGTAAGAAATACGTGTGCTTGCGCTTATACATAGCAGGCTAAAACGGCGTAATGGGAATTGTGTTGGCTTCTCTTCCTGCAGAGCAGTCATCGGTACTTAGAAAAGGCCCAATTTTCTTTGCTTTCTTTTCTTTCTTCTAAAATAATTCCTATACAAGTTTTGACATTATATCCAGCTTATTTATTGTGTTATGGCCTCGTAAATATAATGAGTGCATTCAGACAACTTGAGTTTTCGACGTTTTAGTATATTTTTGTACGCATTACTGTGCCATAAAGAAAGCTGGTTAACCATATTTAAACAAACAATGTTACATAGCACACGCTGAGTGACCTGCAAGTTTTTACATGAAAAAAAAAGACAATTACTTGTTGGCAGCATAAAGCGGCAAGTAAATGCATACAGCTGAGAAACATTTTGCTCTGAGAAATTCTTGTGACTCCCTTGTTTACTCTTGCTCACAAGAACGTGGTTGAAAGTTTTTTTTTCATAAACATCTCGCCATCTTGTGGGGATCCCAAAAATCTGCTGTGCAAGTTCTTTCGTTGCAATGCATTAACGTCGACTGCAGGTATAAAAACTGTTTCAGCAAGAATAGTTTTCAGCTTGCATCGCTTGTAGGGGCAGGAACCTCCATGGCACTTTTTTTTAAACATCTGATCCACAGGTCGGACCCTGCGAAGGGATAAGCATCGGCGACCACCTGTGGGTGGCCCGTTACATCTTGCAAAGAGTGGCCGAGGACTTCGGCCTGGTGGTCACACTCGACCCGAAGCCAGTGACGGGAGACTGGAACGGTGCAGGCGCGCACACCAATTTCAGTACGCTCGCTATGCGCCAGCCCGATGGCATACGCTACATTGAAAAGGCCATCGAGCAACTCTCGCGTAATCACCGCGAGCACATCCAAGCCTACGACCCGCACGGAGGCCGAGACAACGAACGCCGCCTTACGGGGCTGCACGAGACTTCCAGCATCCACGACTTCACCTCAGGCGTGGCCGACCGCGGAGCCAGTATCCGCATACCTCGACAGGTCAGTGGCGTCATCTTTCTAATATTCGCATTAGCTTTGATGTGTCTTTTTCAAATGAAAGATTCAACTATTTATAAGAATGACGGGTGCAACCTTCAATATTCAATAAAGTTGAATGCGAAAGCAATATCCTAACCTTGTGCGTACTTGAAGCACTTAGGGCATACTTTTTATTGTATATCATTACTCGAAAAAGTTAAATCGTAGATTACTACAATTTATTCTACAATTTTAAAGTGGTTTTGTGTGAGTGAAGCTTGAAAATATGGCTGCATTCTGCGTAATGAGCAGCATCCTTCAGGCCACCAATAATTATGCGCGCGAAATATTTTCAAACTTGCTATGCGCCTTTTACATGGTCTCTTTAGAATACGTGCAGTAACATGTCTGCTCTTTAAGATGGGTGGCTAGCTTTAACCACGAGGGTGTTATAGTAATCGCCAGTTCTGACACCCGATACCTGATGACGATTTACCCTTGTACCACACAATATTCCTGTATCCGGGCTTCGGCAGCTGCACTTTCGATGGCGGTGCAAGTGGTGTAGGCCCTTCTGGTTAGCTTTGGCTGCACGTTAAAAAATCCCTGGTGGACGCAATTTTCGGAGCCCTCCTTTACCGCGTCCATCATAGTCATATGGTAGTTTTGAGACATCAAACCCCACAGATCAATCAATCATCAAAAACATCATTGTGATAATACATGTTCTACTGTGAAGGTTGTATACAGAATGGATGTGTCGGTAAAGCATGATTGTTATTTTCACTGAATCTCAAAGCAGAAGAAGTTACTTTCACTGTACTTTCAATTAGGAGCGTGAGTGTGTGGTAGAATATCTGCTGGCAACGCAAACAGCCCGGGCTCGATTCTGACGTGGACCCAGAAATATTTATTGCTATGTATTTTATTTTACATCTTTCTCGTATTTTCCGATATGGGCAAGATTATGATTTCTCGCTCACAACCAAAAGCACCAACACTGGAATTTCAGTGAAATGAGCTCTTTCAACGCTATCGTGTTTTCAACTCTTTCTTGTAGGCTAACCTCACCCACAAATCTAGAAAATGAATCGAAGCCCCCAATATATGAACGCTCCAATGTCGTCATTTCTCTAACGCGTTGCTTTTTTTTCAATAAACTGACTGTTACCCATGCTCTGATGACGTCCTTTGCTGACACTTTTTTTCTATTCTCAGTAGTTAAATGTTGCACTACAATTGTTCCACTTATGTGCTTCTCGCTGCGCACAATATACACATGTTCAGGGATGGTACGTTTCGGACTAATGCATGACGGAATACTTATGCGGGCAATACCAGACATAAACCACTGCACTATCTCGGCGTATAGAGCCATGATCAACTAGCTGGCTGTTCTTGGTGTAAACCAACTTTTGGGGGCGTCGGTGCGCGATTGAATTCTCTGTGAGAGAGTCTTGCCGCTTCGCTGGAGGAACCGGCGTTCTTTTGTAATTCAGCTTGCCGGAAACAGCAGCATAGACGTCAGTCCTCGTAGACTGGTCCAGAGATGTGTGCTGCCCCATTCATTCTCACAGGTGCCTATAAACAGTGCGGAGTTGTTGCTGGCGCGTGTAGTTCAGCTTGCTTAGAGCTAAAGCTTTTCAGCATAGTTCCCCTCACCTCATCGAGGTACATCCCAGGAAGTGTGTACATTCCGCATGATACAGGGCTATGTGGGGGGGGGGGGGTGCTGGTGTTCCATGCCGAAAGGTATGACCATCAGGTGGGAAAGCAACCTTGGTCTGGCCAACTAGCTCTCCTCCTGATGTATCTCATGACGTGTAGACGCACAAATTCTTATGACACGCCACTTTCGGTTGGCCTTATTGAGGTGGCCAGTAGCTGCCCTTGGCACGCTGGTAGCGAATCTCAGGGGCCATATTCAGTACTAATATTTCGCAACACACCAAATCCCCTCCATAAAACTCAGCTCAATGAGATGGAATTGTCTGAGGCAACGTCTGGTTCATCACTACGGACTTAAGATCCGTTGATAGTCAATGCAAACACTTCGATGTAGCATCTTCTAAAACACATCGACAATCATCCAGTGGGAAACTTTTCATCAAAAGTGAACTCAGTCGATTCCAAACGAGCCCCCCTTCACAAACAAAGAACAGCTGCAAGATGACCTCCAAGCAAACACTAACAGCTAACCAATACAACACACACTACAGACATTGACATATGCCTTTTTGACACAAATAAAGCTCAAAATTTTAACAGAAACGTTTTCACGACTAATATGTGAAGCTTAACCTCCGAAAACCACCTTATGATTATAGAGACGCCGTACAGGGCGGCCTCGGAAACTTCGACCACCTAGAATTTTAACAAGCACCCAAATCTGAGCACATAAGCATACAGCATTTCCTCCTCCATTGGAAATGTATCCGCGGCAGCCGAGATTCGATCCCGCGACCTGCGGGTCAACAGCCGAGTACCTTAGCCCCTAGATGGAGCAAACATTTCGAATGTGCAAATCATCATTGGTTCGTCATGCTGCAGTGAAAACCTGCACTCGATGCCTTTGGAAACCTTGGCATAAACATTGAAGTGTGTGGATAGGTAGACAGACCCAAGATTGTTTTGGAATATGCCTGGCGGCTATTGAATGAAATGGATTTGATGTCTCTTGGCCATTCATGACATTAATTTACCCCAACTGTCTTTTTAGTAAGAACAAGTAATAACACAAACCGACACCGTACTGCGTCTTCGATACAACGCGGGAAGTCAAATATTCTCGACAATGTGAAGCACGATAAACCACGCGGTGAACAGTTAAAGAAAGTGAAAAAGATTGGTTAATATTTGTCTATTTATTATATCACATGAAAAAAGCTCACGAAGGAAGAGGTGACTTTCCTGACGATAAAGTAAGCAGTTTCAAGAAATCAGGCGAAGTAGGCAAAGACGTTGCTTAGTTTGGTTTCGGGTGTCACCATTGCTTCAATTGAGCTGGGTTCCTTCGTCTTCACGCTAAATCTTAGAAAGCCTATGGTGTCCTTATATAGGACCGTGAATGAAGCATTATGCTACTACGCTGTATTCATTCTAATACAAAACTTATACCGGGTGTTTCAAGAAACACGTCCACAATTCTCAGAAATCTGGGGAATCCCTCGATACTAACACACCTTCGTTGAACAGCTTCGTTCGATACCTTCAAAATGTAAGTTTTTTTGTGCTGGCAGAGATCTTGAGCTTGTCAAATGCATCATTTGGAACAGTAGTATGAAAAGGTAGAATAGTTACATTTTTACTTAGTGGAGCTAGATGGCCATGCGTAATAAGATAAATAAAATATTAAATGCGAAGCATTTCTTAGTGAACTTCGGTGACTGAGCGTATCTATCTATCTATCTATCTATCTATCTATCTATCTATCTATCTATCTATCTATCTATCTATCTATCTATCTATCTATCTATCTATCTATCTATCTATCTATCTATCTATCTATCTATCTATCTATCTATCTATCTATCTATCTATCTAATAATGGTATTGAAACAAAACTTGGTATGGCATAGTATGACTTTATGAAGAACATCTTTAACTAGTCGTAAGATGAAAATCATATGTATGTCATGAATGCCATGATTCACACTTCATGGTCCTGCAACTCTTGCGGTGGTTTCGTTCACATGGCATGTTGCAATACTGGTATGGTACGGCATGATTGCATGGCAAACAGAAGTGATAAATCCTAACATGAAAATAATGACATGCGTGTCATGTAACAACATGACTACATGATATGCTCATGATGCGCTCACGGCCGTTTCACTAGCTTGACATGTAGCAATCTCGGTATTATGTGAGGCGAACGGACGACATAGGTAAATGACACATACAAACATGATAATCACGACATGCGTGTCTTGTAACAACATGACTACTTGTCACACTCATGATGCGCTTGCAACTATTTCGCCAGCTTCACACATGCCAAATTTGGTATTACGTGACGTCAATATATGACGAAGGTATCTTACTGGTGCAAACATGATAATCATGATATGTGTGTCATGTGAGAACACGACTGCACGCAACGGTAAAGGCGCCAATACTTTCGACGTGACGCGGTGCGCGTGCTCGCCGGCATTCATTTCGACGCATCACGCCGGCGTTGCCACGCCAGGCGCCGGTACTGCCATATACTCGCAGGCGTTCGCCGCGCTGCGTCTCTGATGCATGTGCGTTTCAGCGCGTCCAGTGTATCTCCGTCACAAGTAGAGGGAGACGCAGTGCTCTCTGGATAACGCATCTGTGCGAAATGCAGCATGTCGCATTTCGCACCAGTTGCCATTGGACCGAGCCGACGGACGCTGTTCGCGCCTGGCGTCAGACTATAGAGTTTTCGCGTATTGCTAACGAAGCGTCGCTGTGCCCAGCGTGCGCGCGCGTCAACGCTACATCGGAGTATATTTGGCCCTTGATGATGCGCTCGAGGCCGTTTTGCTAGCTCCACATATACCAAATTTGCTGTTACGTGAAGCCCATGAATTATGAAATATATTACTGGTGCAAACATGATAATCCTAGCGTGCGTGTCATGTAAGAACATGACAATATACCACGCTCATAGCGTGCTCGCGGGTGATTCGCTAGCTCCACATATACAAAATTGGGTATCACGGGACGTGAATAGATGACGAAGGTAAACGACACACCCAAACATGATAATCATGACACGGAAGTCATGTACAGCATCATTTATTTCCACCTCGTAACGTTGTGTTGATTTTAAAGTGACCTATCAACATTTCTCATTCGTCTTTCGCATACCATCGATTCCCACTGTTCGTGGAATCTGCCAATTTTTTTTACGCGAAGTCCTTATCGTGGCTTTAATGTGTTGAAGTGGCCTCTAGTTTTCTAGTGGCATAATGAAACAAAAATCTAATTTGAATGTGAAACTAAATTTGAAGCACCGATGACTAAAACAAGCTGATATCTAAAATGATTCACTG